AATCAGCTCATAAAGTGACCATGTTTCAGAGAATATTTACTGTGTTATGTCAAATATTTTCCTCAGTTAACTTCATATTAAATGAATGATAGAAACATACATCCTTCTAGACGAAGGTCTAATGCCTAAAGCTGTACTACTTTTGTATTATTATTATTGAAACATTCAATCGGTAATTGTTCCATTAAAATCCAATGGTCAATGACGTATTCATATGTATGCGATATACGTTCTTGAATGCCTGCTGAAACAATCGAGACTGTGTACACATGACATAAGATTTGGAGTGTTTGCTTACAAATTGGACTTTGGGATTGAATTGTTTATATGGTCACGTGACATTTCAATCGATCAACTGAATACGACCATAGTGTTTATTTGTTGTAGATGAGAAACGAATAGCCTTGGATAGATGGTATTACGGATATTTTTAAAATGACTATGAGATTAATGGATGTGTAGGTGAATGTGTTATGTACAGAACTGACTTTGTGACAAACATAAAACACAATTTATTTATTTTGAAACTGAAACTGATCATCAAATTCAATTCAGTTCAAGCCTGTAAACGTAAATGAATCACAAATGAAATAGGATTGTGACCTGATTTATCCAATATAGTGATCCGTATTTTACTCATCAAACCTAGTCATTTCCAGATCACATCAACTATTCTTCACATCTTATTCAACGTCATCAAGCGATCAGTGGATTTCACACATAATTCTACCCTCATTTCTCTGAAAAGTGACAAATTCCTACATTTTCAGTTTCTGAGACTAGTTGAATCTGACAAACTGTGAATAATCATATGGAATGAAGATGTAAGTGTGTGGATTCCACATGTGTTGACTTACGTTTACCATCAACGTTTTGATTAATAAACCATCTGACAGCAAGTAATTCCTCTGAAATAATGAAAATAAAAATGGATGATTAAATATCTGTGTAATGAATATTTATCACATTGAATAAATGACCGTATTAACACGGACTACATTTGCATGTGAGTTATGATCTTCATTGTGAGATTTATTGAACCGATGTAGTCAAATACTCAAGCAGCTCTCATGATAGACTATAGAGTTGGTAATTGGCACTCGAACAATAACATCACTTGTTTTGTCAGTTCTACTCTTCCAATGTGTTTGTATTTTGAGATGAAACTCTGTTTTGTTTAATATTTTTCACATGATAGTAATCAGAAGGTGTTGTGAAACACAAAAGTTCTGGTACGAAAATCACACAAACAAAACAATCATCGTGTGTTGATAAGCTCTTGTGTAATAATCAAGCCAAATAGAGAATAATGTATGCAAAATAAATTGTGGGAATAAGTAACAAAACAAAATATAACTGAATAATACAAGAACTCACTCTTATCCGAAATATCAAATTCAGGATCTGTATTGTCTGAACGAAACGGTCTAATATTTCCGACGTCGTCTTCTCCGTGCATATTTATTTCACCTGTATTTATTTATTGAAAACATGAAACATGATTGATCATTTTACATTAAATGAAATAAACTAAAGACCTAAATGAATTGGATGAACTGCATCTGGATTGTTATAAGGCGTCACTTTATCGACACAATTTGAACAAGAAAGAATATCGGAAGAATTTTTGCATGTCTCAAGGAGAATTAAACTAATTTATTAAAGAAATGGAATCAACTTGGATTCATGGGCACGAAAGTTATCAAGAAAATTGTATTATAATTTGAGGTGAAAGAAAATTATTGACTTACCAGAAACGGAAATATGGTAACCTGTGACCAGAATACTGTAATATTTAGACGTAAACAAAGGGACAAATATCTCCATCACAAAATGTATTCAATTCACCAATAAATTATTGGATTTATTTAAATTTGTATTCACAGCTGGCTGAGACTGATTCATACTGATACTCTGTAAATACATAAAATGCTGAGACTGAATATGTGTATAACGATCAAACTGATTACTTACATATCGATATGAACGGTTTTCAAAAATTACTTTTCCCGAATTCGTCCATCCAGGTTGATCACAGACATCGTGGCATTTGGAGAATTTGGTAAGCCAGACGACAATTAGAATAAGTGACATGAATTGAGAAGATAACATGTTGTGTCTAAAATGGTTCAGATGAAATGAACAACGTGATCTCATTGTATCGATTTTCAATTTGAGTTCGTATGTTCTATTCATATTTGAATAGAACGTGTCAGGTATATATAGAATTTTGAAATGTAAGGTTGTTTACTACTGATTCGATGATTCAAACTGACCATTAAGATGAATATGTAGTGTCAGTCATTATTTTAATCTCATAATATATCTTATTCTAACTTTCGGACAGCCCAATCTATTTATTCTAATTGAGTCATATTTCGACCTTGTTAATTATTTGCTTATCAGTCTTGACTGTGTTTTTATATGAGCGTATATGTATGTACACTTCATATCCCATGTCTCATCACATTTCTGTAGTTTATTTTATCTTCATACAGATATTGAGTAACGCCTGGCTAGAAATGGAGTTGGCTAACCAGCCATCTCCACTGCGCATCATTTTGCTTTGTTCTATTACATTCACTTTACATACAAAATATATGTATACGAAAGTTCATTCTCATTATCTGACTTATCTAAATTCCGTTATTGACTTACGTGATTTAAGTCGATGATTGTATACGAGGATAGGTGATATCGAACATTCGTGCGATGTAATTGGAGTCAGATCCACGGGCCACTAAAAACTGTCAAGCTTAAGAGAATTGATAGACAGTTCGCGAATTCAGTATTCACTGTATGGTTCTCATATTTCACTTAGATGTTCTGTAATTTTGTGTTCAAATCTATTCGATTGTCTTCACTTGTATTCTCGTTCACTACAATACTACTTGAAAAGAATACGTTTAAAATGTCAATGCTGCGTGGATGAAATATATCAATTTGTAAGATAAATAAGCCGATTAGACTTCCACTATTTTTGGTGCGAATTTAGAATATCATTGTGAAAGTACATTAAAAATAATAGCTAACCTGGCATTTCGGTGAAATGTTTGAGGCGTGTAAGGATGATTCAACGGCAGTGTAACCACCGACAGCCTTGATTCATGGAAACATTCAATATTTTGTTATCGCTGTTATGTTGTTTAATCACGGGTTGTTTAGAGTATTGCTGGTGAACCGAATCATTTGGTTTTACGGTTCTAGCAAGACTTGAAACATCAAAGTCGTATTGAAGCAAGTGACTGACATGGAACAAACTTCATGAATGTTTCAAACAATAAAAGGCATAGATTGACCAATTGTTGTATCATGAATAAGGAATCTTTCAACAAATGGAATACGACTATACCCGTTAGTTGTATAAAATAGATTTAAAGCATTTATCAAATACAGTAGTTCATCTAAGAATCCTTACAAATGGTCTTAAACATGAAATATCTTCCTCACCTCTCCTCTTATTTGCGAAATCACAATCAAACTATTGAGCTGGACGGTAAATCTTCACTTGACATTTGGGAAGACAACAATCCATCAAATAAAATCCATCAAAAGAAAGAATAAATTTAATCGGAACAAAAGAAACTAATTTTTTGAGGATTATTTTCAAAACAACCATTTCAAACAAACGATATGAGAATCCAGGAAGGTGGGAAAAACAATGAGGATAGTAAATGTGACGAGAAAATGGGGAATAGAACAAGACAACAAAGATGATGACGATAGTGACAACATTGACACATGCACACACACACACACTCACAAATGCTTATTTACATGTTACCAGATTTTAAAGATTGCTGGTGTTGACGTATTGTAGGCGAATATATCAGTGTATGTGTGTGTGAGTGTGTTGGGACTAGATGAATCATGAAAAAGTGGGTAAATAACTATTTTATTGAAATTAAAGCATTCACATATGATCAGGATCATTGTACTGAATGGACGTGTGCTTCGCTATGAACCCAAACAAATTACTGCATTACTACTACTATGCCTTTTATTCACACGATTTTCTTTTACTTTTGTTATATTGATTATAACTTGACGATATTTAGTAAATGACCTATCTAATTTTAAAAAAATGACACGATTTCAAAAGTATTTCTACCGTAATAGATGGAAGAGATCACCAGTTTTAACATTATTTCATTCATTAGCATATCTTATTTTGGTTGTTTAAGCATAACACTGACTTAATAAATAAATAAATTTTCAGTAAATTAGACAACACATCAATGATGAATGATAATTCCATCTGAGTATTGTATTCATCATCACCAAGGGTTGGTATATATATATATATATATATAATTTGTTTTCTCGTTCACAAATAATAAGATAGATGTTTGTTATGCATGTTTTCAGGATTATGATATTGATGATGAAAATAATGAGGAGAAGGGTCAGGTGGAAGAAACGTACGTTAGCATAGCATCTAATGTACTCTTGTTAATGATAGTGTTAGCGAACTAACGGAATAGGACGATAATGACAATATTTACTGATAATATTGAATATTTTGTGGACAGCAATCAATTTTATGTCGACGATGAGTTTTGCTGGTGAATGTTCTGTAACGATCAGTGAGATCATATTTTTAATACCAAGCTCTGTTTGTAATGGTTTGAACTATCTTTTCGTTGAAACTTGATCTGGCCTGTTTGGCATATGTGCATCCTTTATAGATTGTCTCGATGAAACCACTATCACACAAGTTACGTAGGAAAAAGTTGACATTTGGCTTGCAGGCTGACTCAGTAACAGCTTTTCGTCCAGTTAAGGACTTGTCAGCCAGACTAAATATCAAATCTAAAATTGGGTACAACCTACAGAAAGGTCTTCGGTAACTTAATTAATAGATTAGTTCCTTCAGTATTTCACTGACCTGTCTTTGAAAGATTTTTAACCGAGTAACAGCAAATAAGAAACAATAAAACTTCTCGATGATAGGTCCAACAAATGCTCATAATAAAATGAGAATATAGAAATCGATTTATTCAATCATTATACAACAAAATTAAATGTATCATAGTAGTAGTAGTAGTAGTAGTAGTAGTAGTAGTAGTAGTAGTAGTAGTAGTAGTAGTAGTAGTAGTAGTAGTAGTAGTAGTAGTAGTAGTAGTAGTAGTAGTAGTAGTAGTAGTAGTAGTAGTAGTAGTAGTAGTAGTAGTAGTAGTAGTAGTAGTAGTAGTAGTAGTAGTAGTAGTAGTAGTAGTAGTAGTAGTAGTAGTAGTAGTAGTAGTAGTAGTAGTAGTAGTAGTAGTAGTAGTAGTAGTAGTAGTAGTAGTAGTAGTAGTAGTAGTAGTAGTAGTAGTAGTAGTAGTAGTAGTAGTAGTAGTAGTAGTAGTAGTAGTAGTAGTAGTAGTAGTAGTAGTAGTAGTAGTAGTAGTAGTAGTAGTAGTAGTAGTAGTAGTAGTAGTAGTAGTAGTAGTAGTAGTAGTAGTAGTAGTAGTAGTAGTAGTAGTAGTAGTAGTAGTAGTAGTAGTAGTAGTAGTAGTAGTAGTAGTAGTAGTAGTAGTAGTAGTAGTAGTAGTAGTAGTAGTAGTAGTAGTAGTAGTAGTAGTAGTAGTAGTAGTAGTAGTAGTAGTAGTAGTAGTAGTAGTAGTAGTAGTAGTAGTAGTAGTAGTAGTAGTAGTAGTAGTAGTAGTAGTAGTAGTAGTAGTAGTAGTAGTAGTAGTAGTAGTAGTAGTAGTAGTAGTAGTAGTAGTAGTAGTAGTAGTAGTAGTAGTAGTAGTAGTAGTAGTAGTAGTAGTAGTAGTAGTAGTAGTAGTAGTAGTAGTAGTAGTAGTAGTAGTAGTAGTAGTAGTAGTAGTAGTAGTAGTAGTAGTAGTAGTAGTAGTAGTAGTAGTAGTAGTAGTAGTAGTAGTAGTAGTAGTAGTAGTAGTAGTAGTAGTAGTAGTAGTAGTAGTAGTAGTAGTAGTAGTAGTAGTAGTAGTAGTAGTAGTAGTAGTAGTAGTAGTAGTAGTAGTAGTAGTAGTAGTAGTAGTAGTAGTAGTAGTAGTAGTAGTAGTAGTAGTAGTAGTAGTAGTAGTAGTAGTAGTAGTAGTAGTAGTAGTAGTAGTAGTAGTAGTAGTAGTAGTAGCTATAGTTCATAAATGTTTTAAGTGTCATCTTTTCTTCAATATACGACCCGATACAACAGCAGTCTACACAATCATTATGTGAATGAATTAAACTGTTTGTAAATAGAGAATTGTTTGTAATTTATTCGTCTGTTATCGGTGGACCACATAAAGAAACTACAATGAGATTGTTGAGTCCTTTCAGAATAGGCATAGTACACAAATCAACATAAACACTACAAGAAATACTAAGCAAACCAAACGATGAATTCACAAAAGAAAATTCAAACATCATCTACAAAATCAATTGCGCCAACTGTGAACATCACAACATCGGATAATAATTATTATAATTATTAGTGAGAAATTTAAAAGTACAGAAATGAGAGATTTTCGACTATTGATTACTGCTTAACGATACATAGTTTCACTCTTTAGATATGAAGAATGGTATGACCTGATTTACATTCACATAGTGTAAGCTGTTTCTCAATGACAAATCGATACACAGTACAGCGCAATAAGAATAAGTTGAATAGTGAAAATGTTAATTGACAAAGTTAATAGACGTATTGGCTGAATACATCCGACCAAGAATGAACTGCGAAACTCAGGAACTGACACAATTATTCGTCGATGGTGTTTGATGAGGTTGGTGATTTCGCCAACACCTGGACCAACAACTGAACAATATCAAGCTGATGGAAATACTCGAGGATTATGAATTTGATCTCATGTGAATTCAAGGGTGGGTTCAAAATGGACTCGGGAAACAAATTCACTTACCAATCATTTTTTGTTTGAACCAAATTATTGTCTGACGTAACTATCATTTTTTATCAAGAAACGTACCATTCATCGAGATAAGCATCTCAAGCAAAGAAGAGGAGTATGAGTTTGGTGAAAGAGAACATCTTGATGATTTGAATGTTTGTAGATCTACTCAACGGACCGACTAATTTGGGTGTCTTAAGAAAATCAATAATATTTGCATACGATTTTTCTCTTCGTACATGATTTCTTACTATATAATGGCAATGAATGACTTCTAGCGGTATTATTTGCAGTCCACGTAAGCAACGGTGCTCATCGGAGTTTAGCCATTCCGGGTGTGAGGAAAATTTCACTATTAGCAAGAAGTGTGGTCGTAATAATTTCACAAATTGACTGGAGTGGTTGATATAGGCAAGTGAATATCAGGTTAACAGTTAAGAAGATGAACGAACATTACAAGACTCGAGGATCTTGCACTCTGTTGACAACCCAAATACAAGAATACAACAGTTTTCCACTCCCCTCCGGCTTTAATAATAAACTTCCCAAAAGAAATTAAGCCTGTTATGTTAATCTTAGAATTCAACAACCTGCACAACCCACTTCTTTCTAAAAACTCAAAATATCCAATAAAAAATTGTGGTTCACAGGCATTAACTACTGTACCAAATCGTCATTTCGTAGTTTCGATCTTGACAATGTAATGCAGATAAATATGAATGGATGTTCAACACTTTTCTATACGCTTTAACATATCTTCACTTGATGAAGTTCAATCGAATAGAAGAAATGCTTATGGAACAATCGAATCACCTGATAAACCACAATTAATCATGCTTGACAATGAATCGTTCGACAAAACTCGGATTATTTTCAATGTATGAACTGGAATGTAGATAGTCAATGTGCGAGTGGCTTAGATTATCGATGTCTCAATTTTCATGAAAATGGAAGAGAAAGTTATTAATTTCAGAGGGTAGCGAATCTTTCTTCGTGGTCTCTTCATTTTATAAATCGTAATACTCTAGAAAAGATGATTAGTGTCTGTTGAAGTTAAGACATCAAAAGACAATTATCAACACTAACCAACTACAATCGGGAATATCAACAACGTAAACATACGCACTGATTAAACATGCTAATTGACATTGTGTCTCATCAGTCTGGTGGATTAATCATCAAGTTCAAGTGTGAATGAAGGAGTTACCAGTAGAATGTGAACTCATCTAACTGAATAGCTTCACAAAAGATCAGATGTGTTTGTTGGATATTCTTCGCTGTCCATTATTCAAGACATAACCGGTTTATGAATACAATTATTCTTAGGTATCCATACGTTAATTCACATTACTGTCGAAAGTCTTGCATATCAGTAATGGAAGGATACGAAAACACAAAGTCATTGAATAGTTTTAGACTCTTTACCTCTATGGGTATATGGAGTTTAGATGGCGATCGACAACAAAGTAACTTATTGAAATTCACTTTCAACAAGTCAATTATGGGAAAAATTTGGATTGATTACTCTGAACCATGATCACTATTTCATGTCAATCAATGAGCAATTCAATATTGGAACTTTTTGTAAACTCCGGATACATGGCTTCAAAGGATACATCACTTGACACTCATTTATAAAATCGGACACTTGTTTGTTTGTTTGAAAGAAGATTCAATGAATAATCCATAAATTACATAGGCATTAGTAATCCATATACTTTCAATCTTAGTTTCTATGCATGAAAGTGACACAAGTAATATTTCTCTCTATGTATATAATTCACTGTCAAATCCACATTGCAGTTGCTGTTGTTGTTGTTTTTATATTTTATAACTGTTAAATTTTTCTTACATTGTTCCACTCGCTCCCTTGCCACTCTTTTGTATATTGTTTTGTACTACTTATTTACATTCAGTAAGCAATAGTGTTCGCAACAATTTTTACACCTATGTTGTCACGCCGGTTGTAGTGAAATATTCTGAAATGTTCACATATATTTATTACGTTTATTGTACTTATCATTGTATTTATCATTTTAATTACCATACCTTAATCACTGCAGTCGTTGTCCACAGTTTCATGCATTTGTTAAAATGCAACAATTTTCATATTGTTTTTCTCTTGGTTCTGGTTTCGGTTGTTTATAAACTGTCATCGAATTTATACACAGCTATCAACTGTCTTTTGTACTATCGTATGTTATAATTATTCTTCATGTTACTGTTACAGGAAGCCTTTTTATTTTCCTATTTGAAGGACGCGTTTCAACGCCCCAGACACCTCACAAGTTGAGGTTTGTAACTAAATATTGTGTATTATTCAATAAAGAACCGGCTATTGTAGACAAATGGTTGATTTGGAACTTCGGTTTCGCGCGTATCACAACCAGGTGACCTAGCTGCTTCGATAGATCTAACATCAACCATTGAACCGATTCTTCAGATGGATTATTATTTGTATATATAATGCAAAACATCAATAAATCTAATTCAAACGAAAAACAGAACCTATCTGATCATAGTTCAGGCATATCAAGATCAATATTTAATCTGGTTAATATGGTTACTTCTATTATATGTATGATATGGATTGTTTCTGTTTGATGAATCATATAAATTTGTAGATGTTTTAATATGAAATCCAACAAAACAACTTGATTAGATTGACACATTCTACAACTGAATCATAACAAGCTGGTCAAGTCATTTGTTGACCATTCTCTTATCCATGGTGAAGGACCTAATGCATACTGTATTTAATAGGAAGAACAAGAAGAAAGTAAATGTCACAAACTATCAATAATGAATACAATTTGCACAAAAACCGTTTTGTGAAATGTTCATGAATTCGATATTATGCGTCGGACAGTATGGTTCAGTATATCAAAGGAGTTCAACGAATGTATAAGATTATTCAATATGATTTGCTTATACAACATCTGTAGTCCATGTTATTTGTTAGACCACTGTAATTAAATAATCTCGATTGTCATTTATAAATTCTGATTGATTTTTCTCAGTATTGACATTTGGTCACAAATGATTCTTAAAGTTGAGTAATGAAATACAATGGATTGTATGTTATACGTCATGTTCCATTTAGGACTCGTCAGGAGAATGAACAATCATCTTAATATTGATGTTCTTACTGACAACCGAATTCATTACACAATCACTTCGAATATCGACTCGTTATTCACTGAAATGGTGAATCAAGATAACCACCTGTTTATCCAACACATAATGGGTTGACTTGTAAGCGTTTGCGTTTTCCAGTTTGATGTTATTGAAGACTCCAAGTGATCAGTCTTGCATCTTCACATAAATATTCACTCGAAATCTGATATGTACACTATGTCCACGCAAGATATTTCAATACATCGGTTTATGTATATCGAAGCAGGTTAATTAAACGGCAAGAGAGTGAGATGATTTATTGAGGAAAGAATAAGAACTTATCAAATAACCACATATATTAAAATCGATTAAGGATAACCAAAGGAGAAGGAAGAGATCAAATTCAGAATGAATGCGTTTCGTGCAAACACACAAACACAAGGCTCGCACATCTCAGAATTATCACTTGGATATGAGACATTTTTCGCTAGCCACCATGTGACCACTATTTTCCAACTTCATTCTAATTTTTATGATTTTGTCGAATTATCGAACACTCTTCAATGTTTTAAGATGTGTATAAGCAAAGGTGGGTAGTGGCTGGCAATGGAATCCATGATGAGCGTTTTGTCCTATCTGGTACACGTCATTTGGACATACCGGCATCTCGAAATTGATGTTCACTCTCACATTTGAACACAGTGCTTTTCACAATGTGGAATGTAGAATATTGAAATGAACAATCTGTAATTCCCTTACTTCAAGAAAAGATCACAGTGGGTTAGAAGGAGATGAAGTATAGAATGAGGCAGAATAAGCAAAATATTTGAGAGAGGAGATCATCGTTTCACTTCAGAGAAGTAGAGAAGAAACAGTTTCAATGTATGTCGATGAGATAGTTGCACTAAAACCCATTAAATTGTGTCTCTTTTGATTCTTTTCTTATTCAGTGGAGTTGAAATTGTTACATGTGCTTAGTTGGGCATTTATTTATGAAACAATTTTACGAATGAAACAGTTTCTGTGGTCTTTATAAACGACTGTAACTGGAGATACGGGATTTGGTAATGAGAAATGGATTTCCCAGTGGAAATTGAATAGAAGTGACATTCAGTTAAATAAACATTGT